GAAAACCCGTCTGGATAACAGCAGACTGACTGCTCGTAAAATATACGACAGGTCTGGACCACTCGTGAATTTTGTTYRTVYCTGAAAAAAATCTTAGAATAYGAAAACATTGGTGAATGCCACAAATTCTCCTAAATCACTCGTACAGTACAACTTAAGAACAAATCTGTGTGAACGAACGGTTCTTGCATGAGGCCCAATGTGTTCAGTATTCATATTAATGCATTTTATTTTTCTGCTTGGGAATACTATCAGGAAATAAAGCAACATTTTCCACAATAGAGCAGGGAGTCAGCTAAACTTAAACACCATATAAGAAATCAATCAGGTACTGTAAATTAYAAGTTGGAGCTAAAGATCCTGCGGCCAGGTGACTCTGTGACCAACATGAAAGTGACTACATATATTCCTATAAATCAGAAGTTGTTACTGCTTGTTAAAGCTTTCTGTCTCTGTGYTTTTAACAACCAGTTGGGTGTTGTGCAGAGAAAATATTTTAACAAGTTAAAGTGAAATGAAAATCATTTCAGAAAAACACATTTAAACATCTCGTACAGGTTTAAAATCCATTGTTGAAAGGTTCTTCAGAGCATAAAAATCAACCACTTTATTGCTTTGTCGTAGTTTTCTTTTTCTTTATGAAATCTCAGAATCCTCAATGATTTTTTTCTCTGGCTAAATGTTTAAAACAGACCAAATTTTATGGTCGTTTTCAATGAATAAAAATTTTAATGCACCTGAAATGTTTGCACATTTCTGTACGTCTGCACTCAGCTGAAATAATCTATATGAGGAGTTTCAGTCAGGGTTTAGAGCTCATCATAGCACAGAAACAGCACTGGTTAAAGTTACTAATGATATTCTCATGGCCTCAGACAGTGGACTTGTGTCCATTCTTGTCCTGTCAGACAGTGGACTTGTGTCCATTCTTGTCCTGTTAGATCTCAGTGCTGCATTTGATACAATTGATCACAATATTTTATTACGTAGACTTGAACTTGATATTGAGATTACAGCTCTAAGATGGTTTGAGTCTTATTTAACTGATAGATTACAGTTTGTTAATGTTAATAATACATTTCTGCTTACACCAGAGTTGTCATGGAGTTCCTCAGGGTTCAGTGCTTGGACAAATCCTCTTTGCTTTGTATATGCTTCCATTAGGTTAAGTTGTTAAACAGCATGAGATAAATTTCCATTGTTATATTGATGATACTCAGTTATATTTATCCACGAAACCTGATGAATCCAACCAGTTACTTAAACTACAAGCATGTCTTAACAACATAAAAACATGGATGACTCAACTTTCTGCTTCTAAACCAGATAAG